TGCATTTATTAATACATATATCTTATCTTCTAATATTCTAGTCATTGTCCCACCAATTGTTTTCAATTTATTTAGGCTCCATTTGGTTGATATTTTTTCTTTTTACTATTTGTTTTTGGTTTTCTATTCATTTTTCATTTTTTGAAAAAAAGGTAGAAGGCAAAAGCATCAACCAGACAGATCCTTTAGTTTAAGGTTTCATTAGTAGCACATGGTAGGGAATGAATACTTAATTATTCCTTGATTTTGAACAGGACATGGAATCCATTGTGGAGACTATGATGCAACAACTTTTGTCTAAGGAGATTCTTTATGAACCCATGAAGGAAATTGGAGAAAGATACCCACAGTGGTTAGAAGAGCATAAAGCCAGTTTGAGCAAAGAAGAATATGAACGTTACTCTCACCAACATGAACTGATAAAGGAGCTTAATGGAGTCTATGAAAATGAGCCTAATAACTTCACAAGGATTGTTGACCTCATGCAAAAAATGCAAGAATGTGGTCAGCCACCAAATGATATTGTGCAAGAGCTTGCTCCTGAATTTGATTTTTCTAATCTTGGCCAGCTGTAAGTGCTCTTTCTTTTGAAGCAATCTTAATCAATTATTCATTTGTAATATAAGTTTTTGTCCAAGCTACTAGCCTGCATGTCCTTATCTATTAAAATTACCGTCTCCTCCTACTAGTGTTAATTTTTGGTGAGAGGTCGTTTGGCAGGATAAAATGTACTGGGAAAGTGGTTTCTGAAGGATCACCATAAAGTAATTCAAATCATGAACCAATTGTTTGGATCAATAGTTGTTGGAAATCGTTGTTTACGATCTGCTGAATATGGGATGAGGGTGGTGGCCCTATGGGCCTCAGGTCATATATTACTGGGCTGGATGGCCTGCTATAGGTTTTAGGTTGAGTGTCCTAGCCCAAAGGCTGTCAGTCCTTGATTTTGCTGCCCAAACTACGGCAGATACTTGATGATTTTCACTGCTCCAAAGATATAACTCATCATGTGCTTATGAAGAGATTGTAGTTACCATTTCACACTTTGGATGAAATTTTTTTACTGTTGTTTTGACATAAGAGGCATTTTCCTTTAATTATTAGCTAACAAGCACTTCTACTCTTGCAGATCCCCAGAGATGCAAGAGTCACCGCAAAACTGTTGTATAATGTGAGGCAATATCCTGTTGCAGACTTGGTTTCCTTCTATTCAATAGATATTCTTTTAATACATTGCTGGAAAATAAAGTAGCTTCCTTGAACTTTTAAGTCATTTGATCCTTCAAGAAATTACGTGCTCAATGTTTTGAGCGTAGTTTTCATATTAAGCTTGTTTATGATTATGGGGAAAGGGTTTATGAGTTATGACCAAGGTTTGGTGTGCGACTTGCTGGGTGATTCTTTGCAAAATATTGGTTTACATTCAAAGGGTTACCTCAAAAGCACCGCATATATAAATACAATCATCCTTTGAGTAATGTTCTGTTCCTCGTCCCCTTTCTTTTTCTCTTACTTTATACCTAACAGCTCATAAAACCATCACCGCTGCTTTTGTTGAATGACAGAAACCCATATTCTCTCCTTTACATAATGAAAACTATAAATTTTAAAAGGAACCAAATGCCCGGAATCAAATGAATTTTCTCAGTATTATTTTTGGGATAATTAAGAACTGCTCAGAATGAATGTATCAAAGCTTAAAGAATCAATTGAATGAAAGAACATTGTGGCATTACCGTGTGCAAGTTGATGCTTATTAAAAATTTAACATTGAATTGAATGAAAGAATTTTGCAAAAGAAAAGCAATAGAGGAATGTTGTCTCGGGCTCTCCGGCTAAGCCTAAGCGTCCCACGGCGCAATCCAGTGTCTCCCATTGACAAAACTTTTGACCAGAAATGGATGGGCCGCATCGAAATCTAGTTCCCTTGCCCATGATACTCCACGAACGGCTGCAGCTCCTGGACCCCAGCATTGGTAAACCCCAAAGAACACAGTCCTGCGAAGGGAAACAAAAAAAGGGCATTGTTGCCCATTTGACTCAATTAATTAATACCCAAATTCAATCATTTCTCTTTTACGTCTTGGTAGCTTCAATTTCTTCCATCTTTATGTTTTTATTGACTGTTGAATGAAATAAGATCATCCACTCAAGACTATTGACTAATTGAGACTGAGATTCCCGAGCTTGCCTTTGTCATTTGGGTCCTACTAACAGAAAAATGAGAAAAAGAAAGCTATCTTGATTCTGAACATGTTGATCATTGTCATCATCACCTCACCGATTGTCTAACTTTTGACTATGAAAAATGAGTTCCACAAATGATTAAGATCCAAATGGAATCAGACTATTATTTACCTTTAAATATCGATACATCACATGTACGTATAAAGTACATGAATAATTGAGATCGAATATATGATTGGAGCAACTATTCATATTTGACTTCTTAAGATTAACATGTGTAAAAAAAGAAGGGTAAAAAGTAGTTTGAAGTATAAGTAGGCAAGGGGGAGGGAACTTACTTATTTTTGTTGCTGACATGGTCCCAGTCGTCCCAGCCACCGTGAGCGACCAGATCGTCGAGTAAGTGAACGCATAGACAATCCTCGAGTATTGCCCCATGGCTCGACCCACATAAAGAGGGCCAGTACCTGTCACCTTGCATCTCACAAAAGCAAAGCCCGTCTTCTCATCCGGTAAGCTTCTGTCGTGGGCCGCAATGGATCCGAATCTTGTGGCTATTGAGTGCAGTTCACAATCCTGAACCAACCAACCAAACCGTGAGTCAAAATACATACACTGTACCAAAATAACCCAAGTTTTGCTGGCTCTAATTAACGTAGCCGGGGGAATAAAGGTTATATTCTTTCATGATTGTTTTCTTATTTCTCAGCTCTCTTTCGGGAAGTTGGGTTCCACTGCTTTCTGACAGACAAAAATGTCTGTTGATAAGAGAAAGCTCCCTTCCTTTTTTCAACTTTATGGACAAGGGAGTCAGATTTTACTATAGAATAATGCAACGTCCTTTTCCTTTTTCCTTATCTCTGTTGTATATTGTTCATTTCCATTTCAAATTCTATATCCCAAGTCACGGGCAACCCGTCGTATTTGTTTTGTAGAGGATATAGTGGACACTAGACAGGATAATATTTTTAAAAAAAGAAAACCCGTTCTATTTTCAAATAAAAAAAAATTGTTCTTACTTTGTACATGGACCGGCCATTTCCAAAGATGAAGTCAATTGAGCCCTCTATGTAACATTCCTTGAAGTAATGGCGACCAGCATCATCACAAAGAGTGTCTTGTGCACCATAGAATCCACAGCCAGAGAAATAGGCCTTGTCGCCCGATATGCGAAACGCCACAGCTTGCCATCCTTGCATTCCTGGCATGGGTGCCGGTGCTGTATTCTGCGTAATTAATATAATTATTTTCATGATTAAAATGGTTAGTATAAAAGCCATTTTGAACACAAAAATGAATGATGGTTGGCACCCAAAACCAAAAATCAATAAATACAACTATATATATTACCGCCAAAAAAAAGTCACATGCAGCATTAATTCAAGAGAAATATTACATGCAGCATTTAATGTTTTTAGACCACTCGTCGATCAGTTCTCTGCAACTAGCACTTTGTCCTTTCAGTCTCAATGTGCTGGGAAATTTGCAAGAAAATTTGTTTGAAAACCTTCTAGCTCTAAGGGTTCTTATATTTACCTTGAAGCTGATATTTCTAGCAGAGAAATAATTAGCATATACAGTGACAGAAGCAGTTTGATAAGTACGCAACTGTTGGCCGTTTGCCCCACGATCACACGCTCGATCATGCCACTCGATGAAGGTCACGTCTCTCCCTGCGCCCTGAAACGTGATGTATGGCTTTGTCGCCGGCACCACCACCTTCTCTCTGCACCGCCACCACACCATATCAATGTCTCATTCAGAACATATACACAAGAAGATAAATTTATGCCTAGACAGCATCTCCAAAGTGAAGACATTGTTTAGCACTTTTTAAGAATGTTTTTCCTTCGTGTTTGAACATATATTGATGCTTTTTTCTTAATTAAGAAGGCTCAAGAAACTCAGAGAAATAAGTATTACATGTAATATCCAGGGCTGATTTGAATTAGAACATTCTTTCTATTATTCTCTGAGACTGCATCCACGGCATCTTGGACTGACCGGAAATGACCTGAACCGTTAACGTCGACCGTAATCAGCCGGTGACCGATGGGTCCAATCCACTTATGGTGGTGCCTCGTTGAGTTAGTCGTAGAAACAGTTGCATGACGACTGAGATTGTTGCTAGTGACAATGGCGGCGCAGGACAGAAGAAAGAAGCAGAAACGAAGAAAAAACAGAAGTAGAAGAATAAGAATGAACTGAAAGACTCCATTAAAATAGCATTAAGCGGTCAGAAGAATAGAAATGATAAGAGAGAGATAAAGAAATGCAAAGAATGTTTCAATGCGGGATTATACTTTCTGGGGTTGATAATTTGCTCCCAGGATCTTATATATATAATGCAAGAAAGAGAAAGAGAGACATATAATTAACCATCTGAATTAATTTAGTTGAAGAATCTCTCCTTTTATTTAATTATTTATAATTTTCTGTTTAGGGAATAAAATTTTGGGTGTTTGCAACGGTCATTTTTTGTTCCCTCGCAAGGAGGGTGATTGCATTTGTAGCTAGCTTTGGTTACTGTTGTAGGCTTTTATGGTAGCCCTTGGCTGCATTATACGCAAGTCTCAATGTGGGGGCGGTATTTCGTTGGCTTTGCTTTCTATCCGGTTGGATACGTACCAACGAATATAAATCTTAGTATATGTTTCTGTTTTTAATTTTGTCATGTTCGACTTGGATTCTTACCATAGATTTGGTGTTTTCGGCTGTTCATTGATTCGTCCGAAATTTTGAATCTGCAGCTTTTACTGTTTTTTAGTTGCGTTCTTTGTAAGGATCAGCAATATGTGCTAATAGGAAAGTCCCTTTGCAGCTAAGATTGTTAAGTATTATAATTCTTAAGAATATTGAATCATCGATTTGATTCTGACAATGGAAATGCAATGGTATGGTACTTAAAATTTATTAGTAGAAATGTCCATGAAGATAAATATACTACCATATATGGAACAATGCTAGCTAGAGACAATAAAAACGATCAACTCCTCCATGAACAAATGGAAACGGAAAAGAAGAACAAGAAGCCAATACATTGCAAGTTCTTGGGGTGGCAAGCAAAGCAACATTTCCATGAATATAAATTCACCTCTTCCAATCAATCACAACTGATTAAATTAAACAGGTGAAATAGGAAAGAGAAAGGGTAAAATAAGATCATGCACGAGCAGTTAAGAAAAATCATTTTCCTTCCTTCCTTTTCTTTTACACGTTTTGAGTACAACCATAACTAAATAACCTAAACCAACACATGGAGGAAAAATGAAAGCACCCCGCAAAGCATAATTTTGTCCAATCTTAATCCAACCATAATGAAGCATTACGCTTAATCTACAAACTAATTAACAGGAAACGGTCACCTTTTGTCCATCCTCCGGTGGTGTTGGCGTGCATGAGGAATGATGGTCCAGGCATGGCTCAATGGTTATTTATCTTTTCTAGTTTACTATTTTTAGCTTAAAAAAAAACCATTTTCTTTTTAACTGGTCCCTTATGTGGCCCACTTGTTTTTTTGAACGTTGGGACTACAAACTCTTTTACTGATATTAGGACTAGAGACAAATATGCCCAAGCCCTCGTACATAGGGATTTTTTTTGCCCTTCAATTTTTGTGACGGAATTACCACTAAAAAATTGCAACACCAAAAGTCATTGATTATGATGGTGATGATTGGCTTGATTATAGCTTCGGGACCCACTCAAAAGATACTACAACCTTTTTAACGTTCTGATCACGATTTGTGAGGTTACATTGCCAGGTCCCGACAGGGTTTCCCTCAAATCATGGCCATGCCAATTGGCTTTGTGGATAACGTGGGATAATCCAGTGTTTTTGCACGCTACTTGAATTTTTGGTCTCGCATTGATCATGCTCGTCCAGCTAACAATTACTTTATGATGATGAACCGTTAATATTTTTAACTCAAAAATTATGTTTATCAAGCGGAGGGAAGTCTTATTTATAAACTCAAAGTCTTATTTTTTTTTGACTGATATCGTTATATTGACTTTTTTTATTTGTAAAGAAGAAAAACTCATTTTAAAGAGTTAGATAAATTTTTAACATCACTAATCACGAACTCATATTTTAAATTTAAAAATTATATTTATTAAATAAATAAAATTTTTTATTTATAAATTTTATACACGTCTTATCTCATTAATTTAATTTAAAATCCGTGACACACAATGCGGGAATGTGTATGTGCCCAGCTACATCAATTAGAGTTTTTATGGATAAAGTGGGCTTTTGTGGGTCAAACCAGTGAAAAGAACAGGTCCAGTAACCGGCAGATTTACTTTTTGGACAAAGTTGGACAAACCCAGTTGGAAAAAAGAAAAGATGTTAAGTAATGCTGGATCCAAAAGGGCTGCTCACGAGCTTGAGTGGTTGCTACCGAGTCTCGAAGCCCTGCCCAATATAAATTCTTAAGTTTGAAAAGTGAAATAGGTATCATTTTGGAGTTAGGCTTGGATTAAAGTGTACAACCTCAAGTCTTAGAATTGTACAGTCACAATTTGGCAAAGAAATGAATTAAACGACGAAATATTGTATTGACAAAAAAAGGAAACAAGAATCAAGCTTTTCCTATAATAACCCTTTCAAGGGGATAATATCCCGGGAAATAAATATTGAAAAGCCTATAATCACAAATATGTATCATCTGTTTTTTAAATGTACAACGTAGACTGAACCTGCCAATCCCCTCAAAAGTCTTCCAATTCTGTCAAATGCTATTCTTTTTTCAGAAAAAAAGAAATCTGTCGATCGTCCTTGTCTCCTTGCTGTATGCCTTGTGTAAGTCTCAATACAACTTGTTGCAGCCGGAAGGTGGTGAAGATTCACCCAATCTTGGGAAAAACTGTTCTCTTTCTAGTGAGACCTGAAGACGTGACACGACCCTAACCACTGAACCCCAAGCAATGGGAGCATAACAAAATGCATAGCCGAAAACGGCTAAAGCTCTTATAACTCCGTTGGGGTACCAAGGACATGCCATGACCAAAAGAGACCCAAAAATCCCAAGCAAAGGCGCGAAAACCGGGATGACTGGCAGCATGAAAGAATTAATTGCTATCGAGGAAAGCGCAATCGAACCAAGGAAATACAATGTCCAGCCTACTAATGGATGAATCGTACGAGGAATAATGGCGAACGGAACTATATAGGCTGCAAGGATGGACCAGATTGCTATAATCTTTAGGCCAGTTCGGATCAAAGTTGTGCCTTTGTCTGAGGGCCGGTAGCATAGTTTGGAGATGCTGGGGCGTGCTAGACGTGTCATCACGATGATTCCAAGAAAAACAACCGATTGGATTATTATAATGGGCATCTCAGCTGCATACCTGCACAAGAAATCGAAACTCACAGTAATTATTCAAAGTCGCTAGATTTTTGTATCTCTGTCAGTGCTTGTACTTTTTTTATTTTCTTATCTTACCCTAAAGTTTGACGACGATTTTCATGCCATTGAATGCCTAAAGGCAGGACAGGCCAAGACCACCAATACCATGGCTTCAACCATAGTGCACCAGGGAAAGTGATCACACTGTTAGGTCCACATGGTACCCTCCAGCAAAGTCTAAGATCTGGGGACCAGCAGAAAAAATCAAAGGTAATTGAGGTTAGATTTGTGGCTCAAGATCAAAGCATGGAATCATTATAGATTAAGATCATCACTGTTTTACTCACAGTAATAAGAAGCATCCATTTGATAACCCAAAGGAAGTCTGTATTGCCCATCTAGTTTCGTTCCATTTAGGGGTGGATGGAACATTGGCTGGTCGAGCAAGTCCGGGAAGTAGACACCAATAAAACCCTGGTCTGCACCATCAGGGTTTTCTTTACCAGTTTCCAGCTGATGAATCATGTCTTTGAACACCTCTAATGATGGCTGCAGATAAAAAAAAATTTAGGAACCAATTAACCAAGGTTGTATAACTACTATTAAGGCGCTGCTTTATGAATATACTTGAAATGAATCATATCTATAAGAAAATTGTTACCTGCAACACAAAGAGGCCAGTATGAAAGATGCAGGGGTTGATAAAGGCTGCACAAAACTGCCCACACTGGAACAATTCATCAGTTTTCTGGAGGAAGAGATTGTCAGCATCTAGCATGACCACTCTTTCATAATCCACCAGCTTCCAGGCATATAGTTTGTTCAGTGTTAACTTGAATCTCTTGTCAAAATTTTTCTGATTCTTGTAAGGGTTATTAATGTTCTCCACCCTCATCACCTTTGCTCCATCTTCCTGTTCCCTACACCACAAAAACAGAGCCGGTCACTTCTATTTCATCCCTATATCCTTTATTTTGGTTATCAACTAAACTGCGTGAAGGTTTTTTAATGTATAATGTAATTGATAGTTATCACACATATCCACACACACACACAAAATAGTTCCCTAATTAAGTCCAATGTCACCATATCAAACTAGTATAATTTAGAAAACTAACACTTAAAACAACCAATGTTTTACACTTACATTTGCCTGTCAAGTTATAGCATTTAGATGACACAGGAAATGCATTGTTCATTGTATTAAGGAACACTGTTTTTCTTCTTCTTCTTCTTCTTTTTCAATGTAAATACTCTAGAAACAAAACAATGATGAAGTCATGTCAATAAGACAAGCCTCCAATCAGAAAATGAAGGCATATAAGGAATGATTGAGAACTCCCCTGGTTAATTTGGACCATGTGTCACACCCTGGGATTTGACCTTGCAGCTTAGAAACCACACAACTGGGACTATGCAGATATATGCTAAAGCTTCATTAAAGAATTTGATCTATCTATTTGCATCTGGACAGGTACCACATGGAAATAAGCGAAGATCCCATTAAACAATTTATCTAGGTAGTTACATCTGGACGTGTATCATATTTTTTTTATCCCAAAGATAAGTTATAAAATATGTTGCTGGTATCCCCAGATACATGCAAAGCAAACTGATTGACTATGAAAGGGCCAAAAAGAAAGGAATGATGATTCACCAAGAAAGATCAATTGATCACTTGACATATATACACATTAAAATTAAAATATAAAGACACTTGAATTCTTTTGGTTTTTGACTAGCTATTTTTTCAATCATCTAATATTCTAAACAAGGATAATGTATTGCTTTTGCTGACATAAACTAGCGGCTACATTTTCCTTTTAGCAGCAGGCCATTAGGCGGTGCAACATAGTCTTGAAACGTCACTTTTGAAAGGATCAAAGTAAAGGGGAACCCATAATCTAAAAACAATTGCCATTGTCAAAGGGGTTGTGCACCAAACGAGCTGCTCTCACATGCTTTTCCTTGACCAATGCAATATCTAATACCATTTCTTGTGCTTGTTGAAAGTGAGAGTGGGGACATGTGGTGACTAATTACTTGAATTTGGATAACCACATGTACCAGTTGAATCACCCGAAATAAACTTAGGACCAGATGTTCCCGCCCTCTAATTAAATTATAATGGGCGGTGTCTTATCTGGGGAAGCTGAGCTCTGTTCTTATCAGTTCCCTCTCTCTTATGTGAAGTTAAAAACAAACGCACACTGTTCATTTCTTTCTCAATTATCAGAAAGAAAAGCAGGATGGATAACAAACAAATATAAAAAATAAAATAAAAAAATGTCACAATTAAGTTTTGCCCCTACCCCCGAATCCTAATTCTCACTTGTGGCTGACCCTTCGAACCTACCCTGGTTGAGTCACAAGGACGACCTTTACTGTCCAATAGCGTTTCTATCCGAGACTAGACGTCCAGTTGAGCAAGTTACGTCAACTTCATCACAATTTAAGCAGCAAATTAAAAGTTGACTTGACCGGTTGGTGGGAAGAGACCGTGCATGAGGACAACCAACTTTAGATCCACCCGGTTTCCTCAAAGATACCTAAACCCTTCGAAAATTTAGAATAGCAAATCGTACAGCTTGATTGTCCCTTTCCTTTGACCGGGAAACTAAAACGTTATGGCACGATTCTAGCTAATGTGATTGAAAATTTAAAATTCTTAATTTCAAATGTTACTATGCAGGCCAGGCAAACAGAACCATGAAATATGACTCGTGAAGGAGTAAACCATGGGCATTAGGGCGGCCATGCTAGTTGTTAGCAAGAAACATCTTAAATACCCATTGCACCTCTTGAAGCAAAACACCTCCGAATCTGATCAATTTACTTCCTATTCTCCGGACAAATATCTTTCTTTTACGTTTTGGGAAAAGAGGAGAGAAAATATTTGCAAGTATGTTTGAAAAGCGAATAAGGTACAGAAAAGAAATCAGAAATTCATCCCCACTTTCAAAAATTTGGCTTTTTTGAGTTTCGACGTTGCGTGAAAGATAAGTTGAAAAGGCAAGTAAAGACGAGAAAAATTAGATTTTATTTCTTTCCATCATTTGAACTGAACCCACCATTTTCATTTGTTATTTTTCTTTTAATAAGACCAGGGCAAATAATAACAAACTGTCACCATCACTTTTAAGACACTGGTTTTCTGGGTAAAATTCATTACAAAATTTTCTTACCAATAAGCCAAAGACAACCGTTTTTTTTTCTCAGTTGTCTGAATTAATTTTTTTTAATGAACAAATAAATTACCGTTACTACTCACAAGAACAAAGGTTCATCGAAAACAGGGCTCTCTTCGTGACTTCATTTCTCGTGCTTCGCTATCCAATCCCCATTGTCCATCTAACATCTGAACTCACCCGTGTTTAGCTACTATTTAAAAGCTTATACGTATTGTTACTGTTTAAAGCTTGCAACTAGGAATAGTTGGTATACCTTTTTCAAAAAGTGTATTTAATCATTTATAAATATATGAAATAAAAGGAATAATAAAGCTTATTCTCATTCAAATTCTAAGCAATCTCCCAAAGGATAAGGTGAATACCCAGAGTGGTCCGGGCTCCTGAGAGACCCACTATGGCTTCGCTGTTCTCCCCACTAGACTTTTGTATCTCTTTCACTATTTTATTGCAAAATATTGAAATTGCATTTAAAGAGAGAGAAAAAAAAGGGGAAAAATGAAAAAGGAGAAATGAAAAGCGATGTTATTGGAGACTTACAGGGCACGAACCCAACGGAGGGGAACGTCGAGGGAGGCAATGACGACGAGATCAGCGTCCACCTGGAGCTTAACAAGCGATCTGATCAAGACGCGTGTCGCCACGTAGAACTCGTAGTCTCTCGGCGTCCCCATGTACATCATCGTCGCATAAGCGTTCCGGTGCTCCTGCTTCTTCAGCTTTACCCCATGAAACGCCGTCGTTTGCACCACCGCCAGGAGCACTAGCAAAACTCTCAAAAATGTAACAACCACTTTTCGTCTCTCCCCGCTCCAACCCATTCGTTTCTCTTTCTCTTTCTCTTTCTTCTTCTTCTCTGAGTTTACAGTAGCTTAAGAAAAAAAAAAAGGAAACCCCAAGAAGGATAATCAAGAACTGCCTTTAGAAATGGAAAATAATCAGCATTTAATATAAGGAACTTCAGAAAAATTATTTTGTTTGATTTTTTTTTTCCGTTGTATGGCAACTCTTCAAGCTTTGGAAAGCATATATAAAGAGGGTGAATAAAAGCAAGTAGCCAGGAAGCAGAGAGGGAAAGCTCTATAAAGGAATTTTAATGAAGTGCAAGTGGGCATTTTGGAAATTTTCGTTTCCCATCAGGTCCTTTATAGTATAAATATAATATATATAATTTTACGGTGGTACTTAGGAGTAAGTCGTCCTCAACGTTTCAACAGCCACTCGTTGAGAAAGCCATGATTCGTTACACTACGACACGTAGTAATATATCAAACTATTTAAGAATGTAATATTTTTGAGTAATTACAAAGACGAAGCATAATTGAATGGAACAAATCAAAAGATTCTCAGGGAAAAAAAAAATTTCACCTAAGCCTTATAAAAAATGATTAAAATGGCTTTAAAATGTACTGGATTTGTTGACTTTTTGGTCGGTTCAATATTTTAATTTTTAATTTTTAATTTTGTAAATATTTAGCCAGATTGATCGTCGCCACTTTAATGATCGACGGAGAATGGAGATTCGTTTCGGAGGTTTTATTTTATTTAATTTATTTATGTTTCCTTTGTTTGCACAAACGAAAATTAGAAACAAGAATGAAATGCGACACGTGGTGGGATGAGGGATGGCACAACGTGAAAAGTCAAGAGATGGAGACCAGAATTACGCGATTGTCCTGGTCGATGCGGTGCCGAGAAAAAAAAAACAAAACGCAATAAGGTCGCGATAGGCCTTTTTGTTCTTATGTGAGGGGGCCTCCTTCCTTGACTGCGTAAACTTATTTGAATCGTACGAGACGCGTTAAGCAATCTTGTACTCCGACTCACCAGTGACTCGGTCGCAACCATTTCTTTTATCTCATAATAAAGGGCCTACATGGACTCTTCTTTCTGCTTTTGGGACTTTTACTTTTCTTTGCCTTCTTTTCTAACAATAAAGAATTCGATAGCTTCTTGTTTGTGACCAAATTTTTGGTTGATTCCCTTATCCTCTCACACCCCAAGTACTATGGTACACCCAAAAGGTTTTTTATAGTTCCTCTCAAATTGGACCCAATCATACAAGAAGAGAAAAAAAGATACAGTCAAATTTTTTAGATCAAAGCAGTCGTGTGTCCATCTCTACGAGCCGAAGAGCCAGTTCAACTTCAAGCCAATGTCTTTTTCCTTTTATTTACTTTGTCAAGTGATTGGCAAAAAATAACTTATAAGTCAAATGTATCAAATACCAAGTTTATTGAATAACAAATCACTTTGATTATAAAATACCCAAGTTTTCCTTAAAAAATTAATTAAAAGGGAATAAAGATGGCTTTCCTTCTCTGTCTTACTCAAGAAATTGATGAATATCGCATGCTTTCGAGGATTGTCCCATTGGGTTGCTTGTACCATGCAAAATCTGATTGCCTCTTACCTAGCTAGATTAGAATAATATTAAAAACAATCTCTCCCGCATCACTTTTGTTTATTTTTGTAAATTAGTGTATTTTTATAAAATATTACAGTGTTATCTTTTCGAGAGCATTGTCACTACTCCAAGTGGATCAGAAAAAAAACTTAAGATAATTGTCTAGTTGAATATTAATTTAAACTGTTTCCTCAAATAAGAAGGTGCTATGAGACATATTAGCTTGGAATTATATATTCCTCTAAGTGGTCATATCCCCGGCATTTAAATTCGTGAACCAACCAAGCGTATATGACCGTTAGTGGGATTGTATATAGAGGAACAAAGTGTGAAAGTTCTGATCAAACTGATAATGGTTTCTCACCAACCTTTGCCATCAAAGGAAGGAACCCGGTACTTACCGTGTCTTTTCTTTTGCTAATTTGTCCTTCTTAACTCATTTACCGTCAAATATAAATAAAATCATTATTTTATACACAGCTCCATTTAGGCAGGTGGCCCGAGCTTATTGCAGTTGGGTTAAAAATGCTTAGAGCCTAATGCGGATGAAACAGGTCCAACTAATAAGGCCTGTTTGCTTGTGGTTTGCGCTATATGCATCTTTAAGTAGGCCCAAGGGCAAAATACGAATGCCGTCCTTTTCGTTTCTGTTGGGCTAGAATTGTATGCTCCTTTTTTTTCTGGGCTGAAATAATGTGAACCCCCTCTCCTCTTATGGGCTGAGATTCATGGATCAGCCCACCTCTTTTTGTAGTGAGTGTGCCTTCTGTTCTGTGTGCGTTTGTGTTTTTGGGCTTCTATAATCCTCTTCATTTTTAGTTTACCGCTCTCTTGGAGCTTGACACGGAGAGGGGGGAGAAAGTGAGATGGGCACATGCGGGGCATCCTTTTTATTTATTTATTTTTTTGTTAGCTTGGCACCACAAGAGAAAAGAGACGTCATCTTGATATTTTGCTACTTGTAAAGTTCCTCGATGTTCTGACCACAGAATTTAATTTATTGCTTTTGCTTTTATCTTGGTATTATCTCATGCACGAGTTTTTGTTTCCCGGAATGATGACTCAAGAAAAACCTCTTGTTAGAAATAATAAACGAATAATGAAACCGCACTCAAATTGTCTTTTAGCTCTTTGCCACTTTTACTGTTTGTGGATTCCAAACGTGTTTCCTGTAAAACTTTGTGAAGAATGACAATAATTATTATCCAATTACAAGATGTTACATGTCCAAAATTAATAAATTAGAAAAAAAGTTTAAAGATAAATCATGAGTCATCATATAAATTTAAAGAAAAGTCTCCAAATGACGTCAAAACCTTTAAAGTGAAGTCTCCAAATCGTTTATTTAAGATTAAGTCAGTATCTTTAAAAAATTTTGAGACGAAATCTCTAAATCATTTGTTCAATATCAAGTTTATTCGTTAAAAATCAAGTCAAGACAAGTTTTCAAATTGTTGTTTGTTTTAAATCAAGTTATAAGACCCTTCAAGTGAACTTGAATCAAAGACTCTCAATCATTTGTTTAAAATCAAGTCAAGACTCTCGAAGCAAACTTGAAGCGAAGTATTCAAATCGTTCATTCAAGATCAAGTAAAAACTCTTAAAATGAAATTTTCAAATTGTTCATTCATTCAAGATCAAGTCAAGACCCTTGAAGCGAAGTCTCTAAATCATTCATTCAAAATTAAGTCAATACTCTTAAAGGGAAGTTTCCAAATCATTCATTCATTCAAGATCAAGTTATAAAATCTGTATAGCGAAGTCTGTAAATTATTTGTTCATTTAATATCAAGTCAAGACTCTTGAAGTGAAGTCTCTAAATTGTTTGTTCATTCAAGATCAAGTTAAGACTCTTGAAGCAAAGTCTCTAAATCGTTCATTCAATATCAAATCAAGACCCTTGAAGCAATTTTTCAAATCTTTTGTTCATTTAATATCAAGTCATGAGACCCTTGAAGCGAATTCTCTAAATCATTTATTTGAGATCAAGTTAAGACTCAAAGTTCCTTGAAGCGAAATATCTAAATCGTTTGTTCAAAATCAAATCAAATGTTTCCAAATCGTTGTTTGTTAAAGATCAAGTTATAACACCTTTGAAGCGAATTTGAAATAAAATTTTTAATTGTTCATTCAAGTTCAAGTTAAGACCTTTGAAGAAGAGTTTTCAAATTGTTTGTTCGCTAGTTCAATATTAAGTCATAAGACCCTTGAAGCAAAGATTGAAGAAATTAATTAAAGGATATTCTTTATTGTAAAAAAATCCCAAAAATTATAAATTCATGTCTAATAAAAAAATAAATAAAATTTATATTTATATTCAAAATTTTTCAAGTTAAAATATTCAACAAACAATATGTTTGTACACTTTGTTGCAAAAAGATATGAGTAATTACATAGTAACACTTTTTTTTTTAACAATAGATAGTAACACTTAACCTCCAAGGAACAGATTATGGAAATGATGCTAGCCTGTAAAGCAACAGGTCAGATTGAAAAAGAAGAAGACAGAATCTTAATTTTATTCCTTTTCTTTACAAAAGTATTGAACGAGGAATCTCATCTAACAAATTCCTTTTTACAACATGTTATCCATCTACAAGCACAAATTCCGAAGAAATAAAAAAACTATAGAACCTAAACAAATGTAGTGGCCACGTTACATGAAAGACTGAATTTAACGATCTACTATTATTAACTGGTCAAAGTGAAAGCGTAGTGAAGGCGTGGAAGCTAGTCTCAACAGATGCCGGTGACCTCACATTGATTACTCTCTCGTAGATTATCTGCAGAGCTTGCTGCCATCTGCGGTTGCTGCTGCCGCCGCCAAGAGCTGGTTCAATGCCAAAGGCTATTTGACCCATGCGATACGTTAAAATCCTAATGCCGTGACAGGTATCAATACAACCTTGACGAAGAAGGCTGAAATTGAAGGAGAGTTTAAATAGAAAGGAGCACGCCAAACCAACTAGAATGGGACTTACACCATGAGAGGGGGATAGAAGGGTAGCCAGAACCACCATTTGCAAAGCCATAGTACAGCTTATAACTATGAGAAAACTTTGCAAAGGTTTTGGGTTTTGGCTTTGATTACTTTCTTTTTTCTCTCTCGAAGCAAAGGATGCTGAATTTGATACCAGATCAGTCAAGTTTGAATATAAAAATTGAATGAAAAAGTGTTAAAGAAGCTTTATATTTTCTTTGTAAAGAAGGCATATATGCAGGCAAAGCAAATCATATGCAAAGTGGGAACACTTGGAAAAGCCAACCAGAAATTAATTAAGGCAACGCAAACTTTAGTTCACATCGTGTTCTCCTACGTGCATTCTTTAAACAAAAGTCATTAATGTGTTCCACACATTAATCCTGACACAGTCAAATAAAAACTGAAAGACACTCTGTTATCGCGCGGCTAAAATTGTTTGCTTGTTATTTTCAGCAGTCCACAGCTTTGTTAACAAATTGTTTCGCTTATCACAGTGAAATTAGAGCGTGTAACCAGTCAAATAAATTGTTTTGTTTTGATATATACTTAATATCGAATTTGTATGGGATAATTAAAATTAAGTAATCCAATTTTAAAAAAAAAACCCACCAAAAATACAAAAATCCAGGGCACTGCAGGACTGCTATTTACTGGTTTTTTATCCAATTTTTTTGAAGA